GTGCAGGTCTTGGATTGTGTAATTAAGGGCCCTTCAAGCAACGTTCTTACTGAGTTTGTTGGTTCATTAATTTGGGATTCAATCTCTAAATCTCTTAATTTGACTTTTCTGGATTTTCGAAACAATCTAGTTGTGGACTTCATAGTCAATGCTGCTACAAGGTTCGGATCACTGTTTGCTTTGCACGTGAAGAGAAGCCTGCTGTTCATGCAACACTAGTAGAACAAGTTTGCTTGCCATATATCTTCTAACCTAATCAACTACAAATTCATTAAAAAAAAAAGGAGATTACCATTGAATTTTGACTTTCAATTTGGCTAGATCTATTTTGATTTATAGGGTTGAGATCATTTCCATTCTAATCTTGAAATCAGGAAACATAGTTAAAAACTTAATTTAAACTACATAACTTTAGAACGTTCTAATTTCATATTTAAAAAAAGGACACAAACCTCAGTTAGTACATTCGCCTTATCATGGTAACGCTTGTTGTGGCCAATCAAACCATAGGTATTGCAAGTCATCTTTACTGTTCATTTTTTCTTCATTCTCGAAGTGGACCCAGAACGAGTGATTACGTCTTCTTCTTGCTGTCTTCTTCGCTTCTTTTGCTTCCTTCCTCTCTTCCCTACAACGTAACCCGATGGTTTTAAAAGGATAACATTCACCTCTGGCCACAATTTCTTACTGTTAATAGGATTGACAATGTTTTCATAACACTGTAGATAGGTTTGCACTGTATAGCACTTATGCACATACTTAATAGGATTATCACCTCTTTCTAGTATAACAACAACCCCATGCTCACGTGGAATTCCCGTCAAATCTCATCTCCTACATGCACATGTCTTACTTGACAAATCAACCACATATTCTTCGGCAAGACATTTCACATAGAACTTTGGGCCCGCAGACCAATCCACTACACACTCCTCAGCTAGTTCCACAAATTTGGCTATTTTTTGTTGGATCTTAGGACATAAAGGTCCTCCAACTTTTCTCATCTTATCCTTCCTTAACTGTATCCTCTTCATGCAGTTGATATGCATGTCAATTAACATAGTCAGGATTGATTTCTCCCTATCCTCTAACACTACATTATTGAAAACTTCACATAGATTGTTAAGCACTATATCACTCTTTACCTTAGTTAAAAATGAGACTTATTCCATTCGCGTGGATCCTTTTTCATTAACCACTCATATGCACCCATACTCTTCTTCGCAAGTTCATCCATCCAAAACTTCCAATCAAGCACAATGGTTGACTTTGCAGCTTTCCATAAGTAGCCTTTAAGTGCCAAACTCTTAAAATTAGCCCTAAAAAAATTTGTATACGTGTGCCTCACACAAAACCTATGTTCAACCTCAGGGTACAAGTCCTCAATGACCTTTTGTAATCCCTTCTGTCTATCAATCATAAAAGTCCATTCATTGCTATTCACAATCCTTAAATCTTCACCCAAATGATTAATGAACCATCTCCAACTTCTAGCATTCTCAGTCTCCACTACGGCATATGCTACTGGGTAAATACAATCATTAGCATCTAGTGCCACTGCAACAAGCATCTGCCCGCCAAAATTTCATTTGAAAAAACACCTGTCCAAGCCTAAAAGTTGCCTACAACCACTCATAAAACATCTCTTACAAGCTTTTAAACATATATAAATTCCTTGAAACTTGGACTCATACGTGGTAACTATACATGTGGATTGCTTCTCAAAGTCTCATGAGCAAAAGACCAAAGTAAGCCAAACTAGTGTTCATTAGAACCCTCAATGATTATCCTTGCGTGTCTTCTAGCTCGCCATGCATTAACTTTATTGATTAATAATTTCAAGTCATCTCTCACGGCCTTAATAATAAGCTCTGTCTTCCAATCAGGGGCAACCTTGAAAGTCTCTAAGTACTTCTCAGCAATGTACTTAGTCGTACAATGCTAGTTTGTTCTATCTTGTAGGCATGTGTGTTGCGAAACGAATGTTTTAATTTGTACGCAGCCCTTTTTCTTATTCCATGAAGCCCAAATCTTCCACTTGCCATCTTTTGTTTTGCACACTCCTCTTGCTCTCTTGTCATCGTTCGCCTTAAACTTCAAATTACGTCTAGTGACAACTCCATGATGTATAACTGCTTTTTTAAATTCTTCTATATTTTTGAACTCTTTCCCAACCTCTAGTTATGGATATAAGTTCTTCGTTTCATCATCACAAGTGGGGAAAAACAATAAGGTAGCGGTTGGTTTGCATTTTCATTTTCAAAACGATTTTTAGTTTTCCTCGAAAACGGCCCGTTTTTCGCGTTTTGAGCATTTTGGCAATTTATAACTGGAAACGCTCAAAATGATAAAAAATTGTTTTGCGTTTTCAGTTATAAATTTTAACTCGTTTTCAAAAACGACGAACCAAACTCGTTTTCGAAAATGGAAAACGGAAAATGGCCTGAAAATGGCAAACCAACCGCACCCTAATTATTTTCATCACCAGTAGATGATCGGTATGCAACTCCTCAGATGATGCATAATATCGATCATCCAATTCCGTGCCATCATCTTCAGCAATTGCTTGAAATTTAAGGTCCGCATTAAGACTAACCCCAACTCTTTCCGGTACATTTATCTGGTAACAAAAACTACCATCGTCTACATCATCATCCAAGTCATTTAACTGGCACTCAAGAGGCACCAATTCTTCATCCTCATTGTTTATAACTGTAATGCAAAAAACTAAAGTTAAGGTTTGCTATATATATATATTCAATCTTCACTTGCAATTTTTTTTAATGCCCATAAGCAAACAAATTATACTACAAACATACATATTCATCTGATATAAAGATTAGACCCTGTTTGAAAACTTAAAATCTGATTAACCACATATTCAGTGCATTTTTATTTTTATTTTTATTTTTTGTCTTTTAATGCCCATAAGCAAACAAATCATATAAAAAAAATAAAAATAAAAATCTTCTTGTGGTCTCTCTGGCTCATCCTCCAATAGTGCATCTTCCATAGGGCTGGACATGGTTCGGTTCTAACAAAAATCGAATCGACTCGAAATTTTCAGATATTTAGTAAATGGAATCGTCGGGTCCAAATTTAATTACGGAACCGTTCGGTTCAATTCAGTTCCGTATTATAATTAAATTTTTTAATATATACAAAGTTATGTTAATTTAATTAATGATATCTTCAATATTAGCTCTTACAAAAAAACGTAGTTCAATCTTATGTGTTTCACGTCTCTCTTTACTAAATTCTTCATAAATTTGATTATTAAAATTACAAAAAGAGAAAGATAGCGAGCTCAAAATAATTAAGAGAGATGTTGTAGAGCTTTAATTCGATTTTTTCCAGTAGAAACGATATTACAGTAGAATAACATATTTGGATAAAATTGAGGTCAATTTGATTAAATTGATTTTGAACTGAAAATTAAAAATAAAAAAAATCATATTTTGTGGTTTGAACTAAATTAACTAGTTAACAAATTTATTTAGAAAAAATAAAATAAATTTACTTATTTAAAATAAATTAATTAAAAAAATTACGGAGATTCGGTTCTTATTCGGTTATTCGGGTCTTGGCCTAGAACCGAGAACCGAACCATACTCGTCGGTTCTTGATTCAAATACCCGTTCGGGTATTTAACTTGAGAAAAATCGTTGGGTTCGGTTCGAGAGTTTGGTCCAACCCTAATCTTCCACACAATTGTATTCCATATGAAGGCCAAGTGTATTGACAATTTGAGGGACAATTTCAGAAGAGAAAAATGCCCAAGCTTATTGACGATTTCGGGGACAATTTTGAAGAGGAATTTGAATTTGAACGGTCGTGGATTCAGAAGAGAAATTCAGAGGAGAAAATGTAGTGTAATGGGTTGAAGAGAAATTATAGGCTGTAAAGATTTTGTTGACACATAAAAATTCAGCCCAAATCGAACAACCCAAAAAGTAAAAGCCCAATTGGAGGATCCCCAAATCAGATAGCCCAAAGAACAAAGCCCAATCGAACAAATCAAGGTGAAGACCCAAATAAGGAGGCCCGAGAATGCGGTAACGCCATCGCCCAAGTTTACAAGTCACCCAGAATCTGAACGAATAGAGTGTCATACGATCGCCCAGAGCTGTTACTCTATTTCTCGCCCAAACCTTCAAGTCGCCCAAAGTATCAACAAACATAACGCGTCGTGGTTATCAAGAAATGCAGTTATCAAAGCAGTTGTTAAAGCAGCCCTATCACGTTCCACGATTTAAGGAATTCAATCGAAAGCGGTTGAACGATGAAAAGTAATGGCAGCAGTTAAAAGTCAGTTTTCATGACAAAATGGCCATTACGAAGAAAGTGGGTAGTTATAGGGCGATCAAACAGTTTTTAGAGTAGTTAATCACAAAGGAATCGCCTATGAAGTATAAAAGGGAAAAAAGACATAGAAGCAAAGACCGAATCCAAAACTCTCGAACAGAGAATATGTAATTTTCATTTCCTTAGCTTTTAGACTTAAACACTTTCCTTTCAGTAACTCGTGTGCTTGCGCCCCTTGGAGACACGTTGTCTTTTTTCATTTCCAATTGTAAAGTCATCACCAATAAAAGAACACCCTTTTTTGGGACTTTGTCTCAAGAGGTTTGTCCCTTACACAATCGTCTGACCCTTTTTAATTGTTAGCGACTAACCCGCGCGAAACAAATTTAACGGGATATATTTGCCACATTTGATTTCTATTTTCCACGTATGTTTTTTCATCCATTTGGAGAGATGAGTTAAATGAGCGATTGATGGATAATTATAAAGAAGTATGAGTGAGTATTTGATAATCCATTAAATATGGATGAGTAAGTAGTAATAATATTAAAATTCACTAATTGTTGATTAAATTCTCCCCGATTTTGATTAATTTCAAAAACTATTTTTGAAATAAATGGTATTGATGTTGCCAGCACATACTTCATAAACAAAATTTGTCAACCTAATTAGTACAAGTAACATCATTTCTTGCTTTATCAACGTTTCTTCTTACGCTGTACATACAGAGATATAGAGAGAGAGAAGAGAGCCACGCTTAGGGTTTGCAGAAGACGCACATTCTGATTCTCTCTCTTTTTCTTTCTCTAAATCAAACACGTCCTTACAAATGCAAACCACCCCAGAATTCTCCCACAAAGAAACAGAATTAAACGACGATTTACAGGAACGAGCATTCTCCAGCCGCAGCTGCTGTTGCTTTTGGATTTTCGGGTCCCGAGAATTCAATAATTGGGAGCGGATTTCGACTTCGGAGGAACAGCAGAAGACTGCCGGCGGCGGTTGGTGGTATAAGGGAATAAACACATTGAAGAAAGCGAGAGAATGGTCGGAGATCGTGGCTGGTCCGAAATGGAAGACATTCATTCGCAGGTTCAACAAGACCGGCCGATGCAAGACCGGGAAATTCCGGTACGATCCCTTGAGTTACGCCTTGAACTTCGACAACGGCTGGCAGGGGCAAAACGGTCAAATGCAGGACGACGACCAGGTGTTCAGGGATTTTTCATCAAGGTACGCGGCGATTCCGTTTTCGATTAAGGTTTCGATGGAATTGGGCAATGATGATCCGTCATCCACGTAGACGTTGAAAATTGGCGGTGGCGCGTTGTGGAGGTCTTTAGTGGCGTGGCAGCGAACTCCGCCGAGGAATATGCTGTGAATGATCAGGTTGTACGACTTTTCGAAGTCACGTCAAATGGGTCGGGTGATTCTACTTTCACATTATTTCATTTTTGTCGTTTAAATTTTATCCCAGTTGATACTTTTATTCATCTGAGGTGAAAATTGGTTTTTGGTTTGCGTGGCGGTACGCTGATTTATGTGCAGCATGTACCCTTTTTTTCTTTTTCTTTTTCTTTTTTTTTAAGTTTTTATGATGGAATTATAATTTCAATTCAATATTTTTTGACTTCGTTACCCGGCTACAAGAATTTTCAAGCTTTTTGGATGGTGAATAACAAGTACATATTAGCGCAAAGTTTGGGAGTGATTTTTTGACTCAAAAAATTGATTTTTTGACCGTTAATTTACTATTTCAGTCGTCATATTCGACTTTTTCTCTTAAAGGTGACCCTACTTTTCTCCTAACGATTAAAATATCAATTTTCAAAATCTCTCCCAAATAGACTGTCGAAATATTTAACATATCTCGTTCAGTATTCATCAACTAAGTGTTTAAAATTTGAATTCCTACAAGTTAGGGCATGGTAGGCAATACTGAACCAAATTTCCATGTGCCGAATGGCCTAAGAATTTTCGCTCGGTTTGTTTTACAAATATAGGGAAAGTTACACATTGAGAAAAAAATAATGAAAAGCAAGTCCAGAGCCGTATGGAGAATTTTGGTTTACTTTGGACTTGAATGGTTGATATCAAAATAATTCGGGTATAATAAGGAATTTTTAAGACCTACAAACTTCGAATTCTTTTACTTTGTACGTTCAGCCTCATGCGTCACTCTTGGGGAGGTGAGGTAAGTTAAGACTGGTTTATGTAATGCAAAATGTGATTATTATCTTCTTATCGATATTTTCCGTCAATTGAGAACTCAAATTGTTAAAAATGTGAAAGCTTGGAGACTGAGGTGCTCCGCTTTAAATAGAAAACCTAAATGCTCAATTTGATGACGACTAAAGGCTTCTTGTGTGTGTGTATTTTAATTTTAAAATTCTCAAAGCCCTATATGAGAGTCAAGATTTACGATTGCACGACAACTGTATATATATTTTAGAGCCTTGCTGTGTGTACAAAAAACATTTTACAAGTTTGCTACAAATAACTCACAATAAAGGGTGAGGTGAGAGATTTTTTGGCATTTTTATCATCTGAGACCCACACGTGAGATCTCTGGTGAAATTTTGTGATTCCATTTTCTGTACAAATGGAATAAGCCATTATTTTACCTATTACTGTGTAGAATGTAGAGCACTATATACAATCCGATATGGTTTGGGAGATTTTTGTGTGTTGCCTCGTGCCTCCACAAAAGATGGACTCCATTATACGAGACCAAGCTTGTAACTCTCGATAACATTGAGGCTAATTTCACAAGGAATGCAGTGTTTGAGTTCATAAGATAATGTTTTGATGCGAAAGTGAAGACGAAAGTATTGCAATTCAGCTAAATATGTTTGTGGATATTTTTTATCTGAGGTTAAATTTATTCAAACCACAATTTTTAATAGTTAGATCATATTTTAATTACATACAAAAATTACTAACTTTTATACATTATCACATTTATATCTCAATTTTATTTTATTTTTTTGCATTCTTATTTTTAGATTGATATAAACTGTTCTTGATTATGGTTTAACTCCAAAATTTTCTTTCAGACTGACTAAAAAAAATCATTTCTCCATTATATATTTAATAAGCAAAACAATTAATAATATAAAAATGCAATTAAATATTTGATCCTCATTTTAAAAGCACGTTAACAATATGAATTGGGATGACCAAACAAAGGATGGGTGGGAATATTTCTCTCCTCTTTGATTAGAAATATCGACAGATCGTCATCCAAAGGACAAAATTTTCAAATGTTAAAAATAAGAATGTAATGAAAAATAATACTAACGATATAATAATGTAATTAAAATATGAATATAACCCCTTTATCTAATTGTCAAAATTTTTATCTTCATAGTTATCAATAATCACTCTTTGTGCAGAAAATTTTAAGAATAGTTTCTAAATGGCAAAATTCTATTTTCTTTGGACTTGAATTTGTGCAATTTCAAATTCGCCCCGTCTTTCTTTTTTTTTTTTTTGGGTAACACAAGAATTAAATCTAGACCACATGGACCGGCAAGATTACTACGTTTTTATGCAGCTTGGGTGTCAGCTGGTGGATCCATATTCGAACCTCAATACACAGTAAATGGATAATAATTCTAGATCCGACCCAAATCCAACCAACCCTGAACTTCTATGTCAAAATTATCCGGCCACGCGCAACCACAAGATGAATTCTAAGGGGCATGAAAGAGACAAGACAAATGTTCATTCTCTCATGAATATGTGGTTCAGCTGTCAGTAGGGCTGTGATGTGATTGCTGAACCCAGATCTTTTTTGGCCCAACATACGAGCGTGTGCGGTAATTGTTTACATCAAACTAGTCAAATGCCAACTATCTTACAAATGATTAATTTCAATCTTTTGGATTATATACTTGCTCAGTGGAGTTGGTAAACTTGGAGTAAGTGGTATATATTAAAAATTTCCATCCAGCTAAGCTTGGGATCGGCTTATAACGATCAAGATAATCTTGGATGGGTCATTGACTCGGTTCGTTTAAGCCCAAATCGAGAAGGAAAAAGAATACGGGTTTCTTTCTTTATGAAAAACGGGGCACATAGGAAAGACACCATTAACTATAGCCAAAGCTATACAAAAAAGTTTCACGGATCCCACCTTTTGGTCCCAACCTAAAAGAAAGAACTCGATGCACAAAAAAGAGCGTTTTCGCGCTATTTCAAAAGGTTTACAAACAGAAATGAAAGCAAAAGAATAGGCAACCAAAACAAGGCAAAAGAAAAGCTAATTGCCCTCTGCTTTGATGAAAAGACAAATCTAATCCCATATTAGATACCATTAATCGAATCTCAAATTTTGATTAACATACAAGAAAACTGACACCCTTCGACTGGTTTCAACTGAAAGTTGAAAATAGAACATAAGATCCAAGTTCTTAATCCGATTTTGACATATTGTCTGAGGAATTAGGTGGCCGCAAATGAAGGGGTGTCTTAAACAAGCTAATTTAGTCATGTCAATATGAATCAAGTTATTCTAAGATCAAAAATCAAAAGTCTGTACTCCAAGATGAATCGTATCGGAAAGACCAATATATTATTAAATTGCAATGCTAGAATATTCAAACCTCCATTACTATCAGTGTACCAATATGTTCAGAATAGAAGAAAGCCAATACGGTAATTTACCAATTAGCAATTAATCAAAAAGGTTTATGGAAAAAAGGGGGAATACCTTTCATAGGCCTTCTGTCCTATGCATCCATGGTAAGTCCAGATTAAGAGAAGAGGGATTGTCATTTTGTGCATCGGAAGAACTAGCAAATTTGCCCTTCTTTGACCATAGCCATATTTTGGAAACTGAATAGCTATCAGTTTTTGTCCCAATACTTATCTTCTTCCCGTCTTCTTCCCTTCCATTAGGCGAAAGTTTACTAGCTCGTTCCATGCCCCCAACAAGCTTCAAATTCCGACGAGTTCTATCATGGCCCAAGGCAGCTACCCTTAGATTAGCATCACCAACCACATACTGATATGAGCCCATTGAGTAACACCTTCGAGCATCCAGTTTACTACTACTAGTCTCTCCTACGTCCTCCTGCACTTCCTTGTTATTCAATTTTCTGAATTTACCAAGTCTTACAGGGAAAACACCCTGTTCTACAGCAACTTCTTGAATTTGCACAGTTTTCAGCCCATTTGAAAATCCATTCTCTCCATTACCGGGAAATCCATCTTCTTCCCTAAAATCCCGGGAATCGAGTATTGGGTTTTCTGTTGAGAACTGGGGATTGAAAAGCATATCCCTACAGAGAGGACAAGTCGAATTCGACAGTAGCCAAGTATCGATACAATTTATATGAAAAGCATGGCTACACATTGGAAGCAATCTCAGTTGGTCCTTCTCAGCAAATTCACACAAACAGACAGCACAATCAAAGGGCTCTTTCGTACCACCAAATATCTCCTTATACATAAACAATGGTAATGCATCAATAAACGCTTGATCTAGACCCGAATCGTGTAAATGGAAGAGCTGTTGCAGTTGTCTTTCAAGTGCATCAGAGCTAGAAACTTCCAAATTTCTATTAGATTGAGAGGATGACTGGTTTTTCGTAAGAAATCTAACAAGCAAGTGTAGAACCCCAGATATGAAGAACAAAACAGCTAAAATAACTATTATGAACAAAACAGCTGGACTAATCCGCGTACCAGATGAAGATGGGCTTGACTCTTTATGGAAATTACTATTTACACCATAAGGAGAAATAGGAGGTGGGTAAGTCATGATACCATCTCTCTGATTCATTTTATGCTGAATCCATGACATTTTCATATGGGTATGCCCAGAAAACAACCTCTGTTCTTCCATTTCTTTCATTAAACAGTCAATCTTAAGAATTTAGAAACCAAAAATTGTGTTACATCACAAGGATGTTTAGGCATAATAAAGTAACAATTTTTATTCCTTCCCGATAGAAAAACTCCAAGTGACTGACTGTTCAATGATATGAGTAGATGAGGAAATAGGAAACTTTAAAGATTGAGTCTTTACCAACCTTGATCCTCCGTTAATGTATTCATAACATGGACCCATTCTTGCAGTCGCAGAAAAACCGTAAAAAACACAGCTTTTGGTGGAATCTTAGAACCTTTTATTTCACTGAGGATACAGAAACATACTTACAATAACTAAGATTATTCACTTAGTATGTATCCATGATTCTCGCTTTGTAACGGGGTCACTAGTTTCTAAAATGAAGGTAAAGTGTGCCAAAAAGATTCAAAGCAACACTTTCTAGTTTCTACTTCGTCCAAGAAATAAATAGAAAAAACAAAAGAAAAAGAGAGATTTACTTTTGCTGTAAACACACGCTTTCGGGAAGCGCGTGGAGTACCTAAAAAAGTTGGGCCTTGAAGTGCCACATATCTTGCTCACTAAAATGGGCTGAAAAAGCGGCAAGTTAAAATTAGTGAAAATTAATAAACAATTAAGCGCTTAATTAACAGGTTTAATTAAAATTAAAACACAAGATTATTAATGTTTGAGCTTAAAAAGTTGAGAAAATTATTCTAAAAATATATTTCTGTTATAAAAGTGAAGAAAAGAGAAGAGAATAGAGAAAAGCTAATAGACTTATGTGTGTATTTTATTAAGGACCAAGTCCTATATTTATAGGACAGAATTAGGGATACAACAGTAATAATTTCTAGCGCTGCAGGGTTATAATTGTCATTCACCTCTAAATCTCAATAAACTTTCATTTTACAACACTTCCCCTTGAATGATACATTAGAAAATATCTGCCTCGTTAAAATTTTGTTTGATAAAAATCCAATGAAAAAAACTCAAAATGAAGGAAAAGGAGTACAATTATTTTGGAATATTAAAAATAAATGCTGCCTTATTAAAACATTATTAGGAAAATACAGTGGGACGAAACCTAAGTGAAGGAAAAAAAAAATAGCTACTCCCCCTGATGTTGATAATTGAAAATCTTTGAGTCGACGCATTTCAATCTCATGAACTAATTTCTTGAATGTAGATGTTGACAGTACTTTTGTGAATAAATTGGCAACATTGTCACTTGAGCGATTTGTTGGATATCGATATCGCAATTCTTTTGAAGCTCATGTATATGAAAGAATTTTGGAGAAATATGTTTCGTTCTGTCACCTTTGATATAGCCTCCTCTGAGTTGTGCAATACAAGCTGCACTGTCTTCATATAAAATTGTTGGACGATCCTTTGTTGAAGTTAATCTGCATTATGTTTGAATATAATGGGTCATGTTTCTCAACCACGTACATTCTCGACCTATTTCATGGATTGCAATAATTTCAAAATGATTGGAGGATGTAGCTGTCAATGATTTTTTCATATATCTCCATGATATAGTTATTCCTCTACATGTAAATACATAACATGTTTGTGATTTAGCTTTATGTGGATTAGATATATAACCTGCATCTGCATATCCCAACTTTTGAGAATAAAATAATTCAAAATCAATAGTACCCTTTAGATAATGAAAAATATGTTTAACACTATTCCAATATATTTTGAGTTGGTGTAAAACTATATTTTGCAAAGAAACTTGTAGAAAAAGTTATGTCAAGTCGAGTGCAATTTACAAGATAAGTTAATATTCCAATTACACTAAAATATGGTACTTCAGAACCAAGAACATTTATCCATCTTCAAGTGGACGAAATTGATCATTTTTCACATCAAGTGATTGAACAACCATAGGTGATACCAATGGATGTGCATTATCCATTTAAAAACATTTTAAATTTTTTCCTATATGCGTAGATTAGTAAACAAATAATCCATTTGCGAAATGTTCAATCTGCAATCCGAGACAAAATTTGATTTTTCGCAAATCCTTCATCTCAAATTCATTTTTCAAATAATCAACAGTTTTCTTGAGCTCTTCGAGAGTTCCAATTAAATTTAAATCATCAATATAAATTGCCACAATTGCAAATCCAATATCTGTTTTCTTTACGAAAACATATGGGTGGACATGGTAATTTTTATAACATTCATTCAACAAATATTCGTTAAAACGATTATACCACATGCGTCCAAATTGTTTTAATCAATATAATGATCTAAAAACATGGTTCTCGGGCATATATCATTTGAGTTATGCTTCTGGTATATTAAATCTTTCAAATATAACATTAATAATCATGTCAGATCAGTTGATTATCACGTATTTCAAGTTTCATATATCGTCAAGATAACATGATATAAACTCGTGATTTCATCCACGACGATCTTTATGAAATTCACTGTGTTGAGAATCGTGCATTACACAATACGACTTCATTTTTCTCATTTCCTTTTCGTATATATCTTTAGATTTTCGGACTACATGTCCAAAAAATTTGTGTTTATACAGTAAATTCAATTTAAGATTGTGTCTCCTTTTATTTGGCCAAACATTATTTCGATTAATATATTTAGACGCATTTATTTTGATTCCTCACGATTCATATATGATATTGTATATCATGTACAAAATTGTTGTCGACAACTTTCTATTTTCTTGTTCGATTCTTTATCTTTTCCCATAGTGACTTAACTTATTTAAATATCTCAATTTTCAACATATCAGGTACCTGAATCTCTTCTGGGGTTTTATAATTTGTTATGTCTAAACACTCATTAAGAGTATATGCCTCCTTAATGAAACTATCTTTGTTAACTGCTCAATTTTTATTTAAAGATTTATGTATTAGAATCGAACATCATCACGCTTCAGGCGTGCCATAAATGTATCAAAATATAATCTTAACAAATTGTCCTCTAAGACATCAATTCGCATTGGAGTATTAAAAATTGGCGTGTGAGATATTATTAATCTCTTTGATCAATAAATGTATCTAAATAAATTATCTTTTGAACTTTTGGTTCGAATGATATTTAGCGAAAATTTAGATGATAATGCATTTATACACTATTTTCAATTTCTTAATTCCTCCTCTAATGCTGAGAGAATTGTCCAATCAAATTGACAATCATTTTTTCAGTGTTATAAAAAATCGCCCATTTGAAATAATAGTTCAAATTACGTACATATTCTCACCATTCTTTACTTTCTATCTCACTGTATTGTGGTGTTTGATATTTACATATACTACACCATAAAAACTAATTAGATGAAAAAATTAGGATTTGACCATAAGCTGATTATAATAGGAAAAACTGTGATTTTGGCATGATGCGTAATGTAATTCCCTAAATAAAAATGGGAAACACTTTATTCTCAATTAAATTAATTAGAGGCATTTAACAAAAAGTTGTGTGGAACCATTTATCGACATTTCAACTAACATTTATTAAAATGTTGAGATTTATGCCCACTAGCATTAACAAGATACAGTTTTGATTATATAATCTGAAAATTATGCTCATGAATTCAGCAATAAGTTCGCAAAACTTCATATTGCGAACACCATGCAATCATCCAATATTTATGTTAAATCTATTAAATACAAATAATATTTAGATGGTTAACATGGTGGGTAATGAGGCCCCATATATCACCCTAATTAATTTTCAGAAATATAGGGAATTCAATTCCTATTTTAGCTAGCGATGTTTAATGATCAATTGTCGATAAAGAGAACAAATAATATATAAGAATTCATTGAATTGAAAAATCTTCTGATTCTTCATTGAATATCCATTAAATTTTTTTTAATTTCGCATTATTATTGATCCAGTAATGGTCCACCTGATCATACCAAATAATAAAATCAAATTGAATTTTTGATTAAATATAATATATAATTCAATTATTTAATCTCGAAAAATATTATTAAATATTATATAATCATATATCATTCAAATAGTCAAACTAATCAATGTTCTAACGACATTAGTTATATATTTCCCTTCATGGATAAATATGAATTCAAAATAATATATTTTTCGAAACACGTGTTACTTTAAAAGCACGTTATATATTATTATTATTATTATTATTATTATTATTATCCTTTCAAAAGCAATATATCAATATTCTTTTGGAATATGAAAAATTTTAATGTCATGCTCTTCAGGAATAATAAAATATTACTGTTTACAGTAATAATTATGTAAAGATTTACTTTTTCGGAGTAAAAACAAAATTTTATATTAGAACTTATATCATTGTGCTCTTTAAGAGCAATAAAATCTAACAAGAGCATCAATATCTAAATACGTATGAATAAAAATTGACACATAAATAAATAGAGTAATTTAATTCGTAATTTTACATATAATCGATCAATATTATTCAGAAATATTGAAATTATAACATCATATTCTTTTGAAGCAATTAATATTCTTTTTTTTAAATATGAATAACACTGTGTTTCTTCAAGAATACCCACACAACCTTTGTTTTTTAATATTATATATATATAAACTGTGTTTTCTTTAGGAACACAACGAGACATATAATCTTTAAGAGTATAAATACAATATTCTTCTGAAATATTGACATTAACGATTAATTCTACATTTCCAGCCAAATAATAAAATTTATGCCCTACATGAGTAATAATGAAATATTTTTCGTGAATATTTATATAACGTGTGTTGCGTTTCTTTGAGAACATCAACATTATATTCATTTAAAATAACCATAATTTACATTATGCTTCTTTATGAGCATTAAGTAAATATTCTTTTGGAATATTAAATTTGTAATAACATGCTATTTATAAATAAGTAATATTCTTCTGGAATATTAATAATGTTGTATTATTTCAGGAGCAACAACGAACTATTTATAATAGATAGATATACAATTAATATTTTTCTGAAATATTAATTATAATGTTGTGCTACTTTTGGAACAATAAAATGATAAATTCTTAATTTGAAGTTCATAGAATAATATCTAAAAATATTTAATTACCATATAGATATGATATGAACTTATATAGAAAAATTAATTACCAAACATGCATTAAGAAAAAGAATCTCCATACATAGAAGTTAACAAAATTGACTAAATCTTTTACCAACATGCAAAAGATACTAAATATGCATATGAATTTCACATATATAGAAATTAAAAATAGAACTAATATGTAACGGATTAAAAGACAGAATTAATATTGAATAATATGTGAAAAAATGATCGTGTATGAATAAAAAAAATGTGAATTAATATGTGTTCAGATTACACGTACAAACGTGAATTAGAATTAATAAGCATACCGATGAAAAGTAGAAATGAAGAAGCAACCTCGTTATGATGTATATATATGTTCAAATATTCACATGCTACCTAATTAATTTTGGTACAC